TGAAGACAACTTTGTAATTAGACAGCTTTGTAAGGAGCTAATTAGTTAGTTTTAAAAAGCACCCTCTGTTGATTATTACAGTAATTAGAGACCAAATCATATCACGTATATAAAATCCACGTTTCTGTAAACCTTACCAAAAATATCCAACACAGAACGAGTGGGTATTGGGGACACCCAACAACGAAAAACAAAGACACATAATCCGAGTTTGAGCAGAAAAAACAAATAGGTTTTGTTGTCTTCTAATTATTCCAGAAAGTATGTCACTTAAAGACTTGCCACCGGCCGCGGCGTCTCATGGCCAGCAGACGACCCCAGATCTGACCGCCATCACGCTATTTGTTCGCTCGTCGGCGCTACACAAGATCGAACGCTCGGCCGTATCGATACCAGAACTGAACTCATGATCCTTAGCCAATGCTGAATTGCAAGTCAGAGTGGGGTTGTTGTATAACAAATAGATCACTTGAGTCGTTGTGATCATTTGATCGCAGGGGGAAAAGATTCGATACTCGCTGAATTAAAGTAAAAAATTGAAAATTGGTGCCATTTAGACAGGTCGTGAGGAATATATCGTTATAATGGTGATGGGGGGGGGGGGGGTGAGAAAGGAGAGGGTGTGGCATTGAGTGATATAGGTGGGTGTCACAGTGCCAAATGTCAGATGGTCAACATGTCAAATGGTCAACATGTCAAATGGTCAACATGTCAGATGGTCAGATGGTCAACATGTCAGATGGTCAGATAGTCAACATTTCAGATGGTCAACATGTCATATGGTCAACATGTCAGATGGTCAACATGTCAGATGGTCAACATGTCATATGGTCAACATGTCATATGGTCAACATGTCAGATAGTCAACATGTCAGATAGTCAACATGTCAGATGGTCAACATGTCATATGGTCAACATGTCATATGGTCAACATGTCAGATGGTCAACATGTCAGATGGTCAACATGTCATATGGTCAATATGTCAGATGGTCAACATGTCAGATGGTCAACATGTCAGATGGTCAACATGTCAGATGGTCAGATGGTCAACATGTCAGATGGTCAGATAGTCAACATTTCAGATGGTCAACATGTCAGATGGTCAACATGTCAGATGGTCAACATGTCAGATGGTCAACATGTCAGATGGTCAACATGTCAGATGGTCAACATGTCAGATGGTCAGATGGTCAACATGTCAGATGGTCAACATGTCAGATGGTCAACATGTCAGATGGTCAACAAGTCAGATGGTCAACATGTCAGATGGTCAACAAGTCAGATGGTCAACAAGTCAGATGGTCAACAAGTCAGATGGTCAACAAGTCAGATGGTCAACAAGTCAGAAGGTCAACAAGTCAGAAGATCAACATGTCAGATGGTCAACATGGTCAATATGTCAGATGGTCAACATGTCAAATGGTCAACAAGTCAGATGGTCAACATGTCAGATGGTCAAATGGTCAACATGTCAGATGGTCAACATGTCAGATGATCAATATGTCAGATGGTCAACATGTCAGATGATCAACATTTCAGATGGTCAAGTGGTCAACATGTCAGATGGTCAACATGTCAGATGGTCAACATGTCAGATGGTCAACATGTCATATGGTCAACATCTCATATGGTCAACATGTCAGATGGTCAACATGTCAGATGGTCAACATGTCAGATGGTCAAATGGTCAACAAGTCAGATGGTCAACATGTCAGATGGTCAACATGTCAGATGGTCAGATAGTCAACATTTCAGATGGTCAACATGTCATATGGTCAACATGTCAGATGGTCAACATGTCAGATGGTCAACATGGTCAATATGTCAGATGGTCAACATGTCAAATGGTCAACAAGTCAGATGGTCAACATGTCAGATGGTCAAATGGTCAACATGTCAGATGGTCAACATGTCATATGGTCAACATGTCATATGGTCAACATGTCATATGGTCAACATGTCAGATGGTCAACATGTCAGATGGTCAAATGGTCAACAAGTCAGATGGTCAACATGTCAGATGGTCAACATGTCAGATGGTCAACATGTCAGATGATCAACATGTCAGATGGTCAACATGTCATATGGTCAACATGTCATATGGTCAACATGTCAGATGGTCAACATGTCAGATGATCAACATGTCAGATGGTCAACATGTCATATGGTCAATATGTCAGATGGTCAACATGTCAGAGGGTCAACATTTCAGATGGTCAACATGTCAGATGGTCAACGTGTCAGATGGTCAGATGGTCAACATGTCAGATGGTCAGATAGTCAACATTTCAGATGGTCAACATGTCAGATGGTCAACATGTCAGATGGTCAACATGTCAGATGGTCAACATGTCAGATGGTCAACATGTCAGATGGTCAACATGTCAGATGGTCAACAAGTCAGATGGTCAACAAGTCAGATGGTCAACAAGTCAGATGGTCAACAAGTCAGATTGTCAACAAGTCAGATGGTCAACAAGTCAGATGGTCAACAAGTCAGAAGATCAACATGTCAGATGGTCAACATGGTCAATATGTCAGATGGTCAACATGTCAAATGGTCAACAAGTCAGATGGTCAACATGTCAGATGGTCAAATGGTCAACATGTCAGATGGTCAACATGTCAGATGATCAATATGTCAGATGGTCAACATGTCAGATGATCAACATTTCAGATGGTCAAGTGGTCAACATGTCAGATGGTCAACATGTCAGATGGTCAACATTTCAGATGGTCAACATGTCATATGGTCAACATCTCATATGGTCAACATGTCAGATGGTCAACATGTCAGATGGTCAAATGGTCAACAAGTCAGATGGTCAACATGTCAGATGGTCAACATGTCAGATGGTCAACATGTCAGATGGTCAGATAGTCAACATTTCAGATGGTCAACATGTCATATGGTCAACATGTCAGATGGTCAACATGTCAGATGGTCAACATGGTCAATATGTCAGATGGTCAACATGTCAAATGGTCAACAAGTCAGATGGTCAACATGTCAGATGGTCAAATGGTCAACATGTCAGATGGTCAACATGTCAGATGGTCAACATGTCATATGGTCAACATGTCATATGGTCAACATGTCATATGGTCAACATGTCAGATGGTCAACATGTCAGATGGTCAAATGGTCAACAAGTCAGATGGTCAACATGTCAGATGGTCAACATGTCAGATGATCAACATGTCAGATGGTCAACATGTCAGATGGTCAACATGTCATATGGTCAACCCGCCCCCCCTCCACTCGAACGAAAAGGAATTTATATAGAAAATTTATACTTTTACCAGTGTCCTACCCCCGGAAAATATAGTCCCTCCCCCCCCCCCCCCGAAATTACCAAGTGCCTCCCCGTAGAAAAAAATTCTGGAAGAAACACTGCATATAGACTTTAAGTAGGACGTGTGAGAGAGTGGAATTAAATGACAATGTATTGAGGACGAGTAGAGTATGATGCTGACGTGTAAAGTGTAAGGATGACGTGTAAGGATGACGTTCAAGTGTAAGGATGACGCATGTACTGATATCAATGTCTAGAAAGAAACCACCGACCACCCACCCACCCACCACAGCAACAAAACACGTCTAAGTCTTGACCAGTACGAAAAAAAATCGATATTTTTGGCTTTAAAAAACTCAAAGAAATGGATAGTCTAGGAGCGGATGTATTCCCTTAGGCTAGCGCGTGAGGGTGACTGTACCATGTTCAACAAATACACTGTGTAGGGTCAGGCATGGACTTTGCAATAATTTTATCACGGTGTGTACATATGGGTTAGCCGTACCATAAAATATTTTGTAACTCTTTATGTACAGAGACTAGTCATAAACCTTAGGTAGGGTATGGCTAATCCGACATTTAAAATAAATGAGATTGGTTCAAAGCTTGCTAAATATTTCGCAATGAGTAGACAAGATGGAAATTGTGTGGGTAGGATTTGTTGGAAAAATAGTTCTTTAGTGTGTGAGGGCGGCACTTGTTGTGATGATAGTATTAGAGCTTTTTGTGGGCACTTGTTGTGATGATAGTATTAGAGCTTTTTGTGGGCACTTGTTGTGATGATAGTATTAGAGCTTTTTGTGGGCACTTGTTGTGATGATAGTATTAGAGCTTTTTGTGGGCACTTGTTGTGATGATAGTATTAGAGCTTTTTGTGGGCACTTGTTGTGATGATAGTATTAGAGCTTTTTGTGGGCACTTGTTGTGATGATAGTATTAGAGCTTTTTGTGGGCACTTGTTGTGATGATAGTATTAGAGCTTTTTGTGGGCACTTGTTGTGATGATAGTATTAGAGATTTTTGTGGGCACTTGTTGTGTTGGTAGTATTAGAGCTTTTTGTGGGCACTTGTTGTGTTGGTAGTATTAGAGCTTTTTGTGGACACTTGTTGTGTTGGTAGTATTAGAGCTTTTTGTGGGCACTTGTTATGTTGGTAGTATTAGAACTTTTTGTGGGCACTTGTTGTGATGATAGTATTAGAGCTTTTTGTGGGCACTTGTTGTGTTGGTAATATTAGAGATTTTGTAGGCACTTGTTGGCTGTGTGACATTTGTTTAGCCAGTGAAGCTGGGGCTATAATTAGAACTTACTTTAACAGCGTCAGCTGGGGGTGGGATAGACAGTGAAGCTGGGGCTATAACAGAGGCGTAGCGACCTTTCCCGGCGCCCGGGGGCAAACTTTCGATTTGCCCCCCCCCCCCTTCCCTCAAACTTTCGATTTGCCCCCCCCCCCTCAAGCTTTCGATTTGCACCACCCCCCTCAAACTTTCGATTTGCACCCCCGCCCCCTCAAGATTTCGATTTGCAACCCCCCCAAGCTTTCAATTTATTTTTCCAACCCATTTTGGCGCCCCCTAAGGTCGGCGCCTGGGGACATATGTCCCCCCCCTCTCGCTACGCCTCTGGGCTATAATAAGAACTTACTTTAACAGCATTAGCTGGGGTGGGGTAGACAGTGAAGCTGGGGCTATAATTAGAACTTACTTTAACAGCGTCCGCTGGGGTGGGGCCCTGGCACTTCTCCCCCTCGTAGTACAGCTGCAGGTACTGCTGCTTGAGCCACAGGACGCGTCTGTCCATTTGGTTCCTCAGCTTGCCTGCTGCCACCTTGAGGTGGGTCAAGCCACGGTACCAGGCGCCGATGATCCCCTTGGGTCCGATAAACCACAGCTTGTGTATGGCGGACATGCAGCTGCCGTAGACTATGGTGATACACTTGTGGTCAGAGTCCAGAGTCTCTAGCCCGTGCCGCTTGCAGATGCCAGCAAGGTCAAGGTTCTCTTCGCCCAGGTAAACTTCCTTGATGTGCATGACGTCCAGGTAGCCTTCTTCTAGTGAGTTGAAACTGTCCTCACCCCCACTAGAGTAGCGCGCGCACAGCACGTGCAGGGAGGTGTGGGAGCGGTCGGAGTGAAGGACGAAGTCAGGCGGGGAGGTGGCGCCACGGAGGGCGCTCCAGCCCGGCCGGGACCACGTGATGGTGGAGTTGTCGGCCTCGAGACGTAAGACACACAAGGAGGATCTGCCGCCATCTTCGTCCCACTGTATGATGGTCGTGCCGTGGTTCAAGATCTGTAGAAGAAATCAGTGTATGGGAAAAGTAAAGGCGGATACAGGCAGAAAGATGAATCACTAAGGAAAGTGATCCGTCATTTCATTCAAGATCTGTAGACGAAATCAGTGCATGGGAAAAGTAAAGGGAGATACAGGCAGAAAGATGAATCACTATGGAAGGTGATCCGTCATTTCATTCAAGATCTGTAGACGAAATCAGTGCATGGGAAAAGTAAAGGGAGATACAGGCAGAAAGATGAATCACTACGGAAAGTGATCCGTCATTTCAGTAGCCCGGCATGGATTAGAGTGTCACTGGGCAAAGTGATATTTAAATAACTGCAACACCTTTATGAGCTGCCTATTACCTCACATAAAATCCAGCACAATCAACTCTAAAATAAAAATTGCAATACGAAATTACAAAGAAGGTATTGGAAGGAAGGTTAGTGGTGTGTTTAAAATCGTGTCAAGGAAAATTAAAACGCGATGAACACAAGAAGAAAAAAACAAACAAAGGAATCTTGCACTCAGTTTTAAAAATTATGAATTTTTTTTGGCATCCGATTGATCGTTGAAAATGAAGCTGTAATTAGCAGTTCATTGCCAACATGTTGAAGCTGAAAGAAAGAGGACGTGTCTGAAGGAATAAAGGCATGTGTGAGAGAATGGCTGTGTTCTAAAGAGACGGAAAATTTCTTCTGTCTAATAGCTTTAATCCCCTTTCATCAATTTTTGTTTGTTTCACCCGTCCTCCATTTCTTGTGAACCAGCGCTAGTGGCGCCCCCTATCACTCTCCAGTAGGGGAGCTTAGAGCCCGGACAACCTGGATAATGCCGCGAGATTTCGCGAGACAAACAATGTAAGCCGTTGTTATCTCGATGTGCTGCTGTTGGTCCGACATTTTCCCTTCTCTGTGAGATGGCTGAGGCTATGTTGTGTGAGTTGTGCAAGGCTATAATGTCTTGGATTGGTGGGTGTCTGGAATGAGGGGGGGGGGGGGGTGTCTAGGATAGAGGGTGTCTGGGGTGGGGGTGTGTTGGGTTAGTGTGTATCTGGGATGGGGGGGGGGTGGGGTCTAGGATAGTTGGTGTCCGGAATGGTGTACTAGACTGATTGGTTACAATATTGACGTTGATGAATATCGGGAAATCTTGCATAGCATATTGCAATATTATGTTGTTGAAATTTAAAGCATTTGATATTTGAATATTGGAATGTTACAATAGTTAAATATTGAATGATGTTGGAATGTTAAGGGTTTTTGAAATGTTGAGCGTTGATTGTTGTTGGAATGTTGATTGTTGTTGGAATGTTGAGTGTTGTTGGAGTGTTGAGTGTTGTTGGAATGTTGATTGTTGTTGGAATGTTGATTGTTGTTGAAATGTTGATTGTTGTTGGAATGTTGAGTGTTGTCGGAATGTTGATTGTTGTTGGAATGTTGATTGTTGTTGGAATGTTGATTGTTGTTGGAATGTTGATTGTTGTTGGAATGTTGAGTGTTGTCGGAATGTTGATTGTTGTTGGAATGTTGAGTGTTGTTGGAATGTTGAGTGGTGAGTACCAATACCTCACCTGCAGAGTCTGCATGTCCAGCTGGAGGAGTCTTGGGGTCAACACCATGACCTCGTGCTCGCTAGCCAATGGTCGGACTGGTTGATAGCTGTCTAGGTCAAGGTCATAATCCCCATCGCTATCATACGATGTTGATTCTGTATCTCTGCTGGCACTAGAGAAGGGGGGGAGGGAAGAACAACAAAAAGACGTGTTTATACTAAAAAATTTTTTGTAAAAAACATTTCTTTTAAAACACGAACCTTGATAAACACGGTCGTAAAAATCCCGATCTATATTCTAGGGCGTGCTTGTTAGAATAATTGTTGGGGATGAGCACATGAATGAACACATGAGCAAACATATGAGAGGACAACGATGTTATTCAACTGAAATGAGACGTGCTTTTCAGACTAGTGAAAGATAGAAAATCAGGTTCTGTAAAGGCGATTTACGAAAATAAAATAATCTAATATTTCAAAGGACCAAAATATTAATTTAAATTTCAAATGTAATAAATATTTTTATCGATAAAATTGACAGTAATTTACAGAGAACCAACCCCCCTCCCCATACCCAACATATTCCCTCCAGAGTTTCTTCCAGGCATCTCTTCGGGGGGGGGGGGGGTGAAGAAAGCTTACCGCCCCCCCCCCCCCCCGAAAATTTCAAGTGCCCCCCCCCCGGAGAAAAAAGTCTGCAAGAAACACTGATTCCCTCTGATATAGGCGCCCACCAAAGGAACATACAAATCAACTCAAACCGGGTGGAATCTCTAAATTTATTTTATTACCAAGCCCTAACAAAACAACTAGAACTGGCTCAGTTATGTAAGCTTATAATACTTGTTTACTGACTGGACCATAAATAAATGTGCCAGAAAATTCTAGCATCTCTACAGGGAGATTAGATGCTAGCATACAAAAGTGAGGCAGACAGCGTAGGTGAGACTGTTCTCCCAATTAGAGGCTAGCATACAAAAGTGAGGCAGACAGCGTAGGTGAGACTGTTCTCCCAATTAGAGGCTAGCACACAAAAGTGAGGCAGACAGCGTAGGTGAGACTGTTCTCCCAATTAGAGGCTAGCACACAAAAGTGAGGCAGACAGCGTAGGTGAGACTGTTCTCCCAATTAGAGGCTAGCACACAAAAGTGAGGCAGACAGCGTAGGTGAGACTGTTCTCCCAATTAGATGCTAGCATACAAAAGTGAGGCAGACAGCGTAGGTGAGACTGTTCTCCCAATTAGAGGCTAGCACACAAAAGTGAGGCAGACAGCGTAGGTGAGACTGTTCTCCCAATTAGAGGCTAGCATACAAAAGTGAGGCAGACAGCGTAGGTGAGACTGTTCTCCCAACAAAGAAGATTCACTCTCGTCAACATCCAGCCTTCGTCCCGACCTAATCAACGCTTTGTTCCGAGAAGTACAAAAACATTTCATACACCAAAGAAGACTGACAAAAACCCACAAATTGAGCCGTCCTTCACTGAATTAACGTACGCCTGCACTGAATACATTCATGTTATATATATATATATATATATATATATATATATATATATATATATATATATATATATATGAAACTTATAATTTTCAGTTAAAAAAATATAATTGTTGTGTATGTGTGTGTATTAAAAATTTGACCTACATTTAAGAAAAACACGGATATTTCCACCATCAAATTTAGAAATCTATATACGGTGGTTGCGCGATGTTCTTAAGGCCACAATGAGACATTGAGAAAAAAGGATTGCAAACTTTTTATGAGTCTAAAATCTAAAGCAATGAGTCACACACTGATAGCATTTTAATTTTAGAGCAATGGTGTATAGAACTTTAGATAAGTTTAGAACATAGAACAAGGATTTATAGACCTTATGATAAATTTAGAACATAGAATGATGACTATTTTCTTGACAACTTATGGTAAGTATAACAACTTAAAAGAACGGGATTTATACCTTGTTATAAACAAGTCTACACATCTTTCATTTTTTTGGTTTTCCCAACATAAACGTTGTAGAGAATTATGTGTCAGTTGAAAAAAAAAACCAAGCCTATAATATTCATTTTGTTTTTAAATCGTCGTTTATTGATAACATAAAACGTTCTATACAGACACATATACGAACAGAATGAAGGACGAATAAAGCCTTTGTGTTATTAACGTGTGGAGTAAGGGGGAGAGGGGGGGGGAGGGAGAGACAGGGGACACAATTATTATCTGGTTTAAAAAAAAACATTCTTAGAAAAATAGTCGAAGTGAGTCTACAAAACTGTAGGATAGATGAGACATACATAATTCAAATCGCGCCGTTTCACTCTCTGAATCAAAAACCAATCGTCGACATTGAGAACAAAATAATCCAATTCTCGCCACCGGGCACAGAAAAAGTTGGGTAACGCTGGGTCGGTGTTCGTGACTTCAGCACGTAGTACGGCGTCGTGTTCTGCTGTATTAGCTACTAATAAGGTGGGGGACTGTACGGGCGGCAGGCCCTACCCTACATCCTGTGAAGTGGGTACTCTAACCCCTACCCCACATCCTGTGTAGTGGGTACTCTAAACCCTACCCCACATTGTGGGTACTCTAGCCCCTACCCCACATTGTGGGTACTTTAACCCCTACCCCACATCCTGTATAGTGGGTATTCTAACCCCTACCCCACATCCTGTGTAGTGGGTACTCTAACCCCTACTCCACATCCTGTGTAGTGGGTACTCTAATCCCTACCCCACATTCTGTACAGTGGGTATTCTAACCCCTACCCCACATCCTGTGTAGTGGGTACTCTAACCCTTACCCCACATCCTGTGTAGAAGGGCGTCAGCTCCTACCCTGGCCCATTGTATGGTCAGTTCTTTAATAAAAGCATCCATATCCTTGCTTGTTCTATTGTGGATTCTTTTAAGGACTATTATGGTTGAACAAGGCCACGAGTATGCTTTTGGCCACTCTACGATAGCAGGAGGCCATTACTGTGCTGGCCGGTGGCGAAACTAAGATGCACGAGGCCATGAATGTGTTTTTGGCCACACTATAATGCACGAGGCCACGCGTGTGCCGTGGGCCATTGTGTGCTGTTAACGACACTGAGATGGCCACACTATAATGCACGAGGCCACGCGTGTGCCGTGGGCCATTGTGTGCTGTTAACGACACTGAGATGGCCACACTATGAAGCACGAGGCCACACATGTGCCGTTGGCCACTGTGTGCTGTTAACGACACTGAGATGGCCACACTATGAAGCACGAGGCCACACATGTGCTGTGGGCCACTGTGTGCTGTTAACGACACTGAGATGGCCACCCTATGATGCACGAGGCCACACATGTGCCGTTGGCCACTGTGTGCTGTTAACGACACTGAGATGGCCCCACTATGATGCACGAGGCCACACATGTGCTGTGGGCCACTGTGTGCTGTTAACGACACTGAGATGGCCACCCTATGATGCACGAGGCCACACATGTGCTGTGGGCCACTGTGTGCTGTTAACGACACTGAGATGGCCACCCTATGATGCACGAGGCCACACATGTGCTGTGGGCCACTGTGTGCTGTTAACGACACTGAGATGGCCACCCTATGATGCACGAGGCCACACATGTGCTGTGGGCCACTGTGTGCTGTTAACGACACTGAGATGGCCACACTATGATGCAAGAGGCCACACATGTGCTGTGGGCCATTGTGTGCTGTTAACGACACTGAGATGGCCACACTATGATGCAAGAGGCCACACATGTGCTGTGGGCCATTGTGTGCTGTTAACGACACTGAGATGGCCCCACTATGATGCACGAGGCCACACATGTGCCGTGGGCCACTGTGTGCTGTTAACGACACTGAGATGGCCACACTATGATGCAAGAGGCCACACATGTGCTGTGGGCCACTGTGTGCTGTTAACGACACTGAGATGAACGCAGCCAGACGTTTTGAGGGCTTCTGTCAGGGCGGGGAATGTGTGCCACAGACGGGAGATAAACTTCCTTGTCTGGCAGGGCCCCCGTTGTTCCAGCACACCCACTTTCCGTGTATTATCTCCCCTCATTAGAGCGTTACCCCCTCCATTACCATACAACCTCATTACAACATTACCCCCTCATCCCAAACCCACCCTTTTTACTAAATTATTCTTATATCGCCAATCTAATACGTAGCCACTCTAACCACATACTCCTCTAACCTTGGCCGTATGAAACAAACTCTCAACATGTGATATGGAATCCCGAGCTACAGGAGAAACTTGATACACATGTTATGGAATCTCCCCTTCAACCCTGTTCCCTAAACAACAGTACCCCGCAATGGAATCACCTCAAAACCTCTCACACCTTAATAATGAGTTATCTGAGATAATATCTCCCTACCCTCGCCGGCATAGTTTTCATTATCTGTGAGAGCTAAGAACTAGCTCCTGTAATTATGTTGTATCTTTTAGATGTTAATGGACTGTTTTATTTATTTCTTTTTTTTTCTCTTGTTTTTTAAATTGAACAAAATGACTCAAAAAAATACTACTAAAGTGTTATTAAAATACTCAAATTGAAAATCCATCTTAGGATTTCGCTAACTTTATAGTCTTATTCTGTTTGACAAGATTTTTAAACACATTTTTATATCATTAATTGCAACCATCTATTTTAATCACTGAATAAATCTTAGCCTTAACAATAAAAAACAGAGTTTTAAATACCATTTAAGCATGTTCAAATCATGTACACTGTAAAAAGTTAAGAGACAGAACAATCAGTACAGAAAAAGATAATTACCGAAGTTACTTCCCTTTATTAAAGTACAAACTTTAAATAAATCTTAAAATAAATAGATATTTTTCTTACTGCCTTACAAAACAAATGAGTAGAATGTACATTAGTTCTATTGTGTGGAGGGCAACTGTCAGATGGATTTTTATGTGGATGTGTTGTAATGAGTTTATTTTGTTTTTGATGGTACACCTTGTACATGTGTGCTCATGTGACCAGACGAGTGTGATAAAAACCTGCATTAGCTACAGGTAAAGGCACAGTAGATTAAGTCCATGTTTTACCATACAGCTAGGTGCCACAACAGATTTAACTTTAGATTACACTTTACAAACTTTTTTTCTCTTTAAGTAAAGAATGTATCCAAGAACATTTAAAATGCCCATGAGCCTTTCATATGTGGGTATAAGAAAACAATGAACTTGAAACAATGAAGATGTTCTCATTATGTAAACAGACAAAAGAGGTGTGCCCTCCATTTCAAGACACCCTGCTTTGAGAAAATGTCCTGACTGTGAGAATTCAAACCCTCCCCATCCCTCTGACAGTGTAAGTAGGGTGTCACGTGTCTTACTTGAATAAATGGGCACCTTGGTACATATAATTACTGAAAACTAACAAGCCTTATTTTCATTTATTTACACATTTTTGTAGTCAGTTTAACAATATTTAATTTAACTAGTTCTATTTTGCTGATTCTGCAATGATATTTAGGCCTATCTTACATAAAAATGGGAGCTAACAAATTATTTGGTACAATTGTCTTTTATAGTTTATTTGTCCAATACACTATGTATAATGGAGTAGAAAAAAATGTTAAAATTTACATGTTAAATACTATAAGATAATTTATGCATTCTACCAAAATATTTCTATTGTTTACAGAAAGTTATATGTCAAACAAATTTCCTAAACAAATTAATTTAATTGCAAGGAAAATTTATCAAAATAATAACATGAATAAGGTATTTGCCAAAAAGCAATGCCTCTATTGTCCACCTACCTACTAGTGGCATCTTTAGGTCAAAGTGATCTACCTTACTAGTGCCACCATCCAGATTACCATGACCTATTTGCTAATGCTACCCTCCAGGTTAATGTGACCTACATACTGGAGACCTTCTCCATGTTACCATGACCTACTTACTAGTCCTACCCTCCAGGTCACTGTGACTTACCTACTCATACCCCCCCCATCTGAGTGTGACCTACCTGCTGGTGTCCCCCCCCCCCCATCTGACTGTGACCTACCTGCTGGTGTCCCCCCCCCCCATCTGACTGTGACCTACCTGCTGGTGTCCCCCCCCCCCCCACCATCTGACTGTGACCTACCTGCTGGTGTCCCCCCCCCCCCCCATCTGACTGTGACCTACCTGCTGGTGTCCCCCCCCCCATCTGACTGTGACCTACCTGCTGGTGTCCCCCCCCCCATCTGACTGTGACCTACATGCTGGTGTCCCCCCCCCCCCCCCAGTCACTGTGACCTACCTGCTGGTGGCATCCCCCAGGTTACTACTGGAACTAGCTGCTATTTTCCCATGGTACTGGAACAGGTGAATGTCACTCAGCACCAGCTGAGCCTGCCTCAATTTGTCCAGGTTAATTAATCCACCCACACCTATCCTGGTCATAAACCTGTCCTCACCATTGAAGTCTGACACAAACTGGCATAGAAAAAGATATTTTCAAAAATACAACCATAATTGGTAAAAAAAAAATAAAGTTCAAAATTACAGAAAAAAAATGCATCTTATTTTATTTCTGGAGACAGCATGTTTGTATGGTAGAGCATACGACTCCTAAACTCCGAAAGTTGTGAGTTTAGATCCTAGGGTCGGTTGAGTCGGTAAAGCTCATGCTTGCTAAACCGAAAAGTTTCGAGTTCGAACCCTCGGGCAGATGAGGCTCGTTTGCTGGGGACATCAACCCATCTAAGGGAGAAAACTCAAAAACCAAACAACTGCTGCCTTGTAGTTTGTTTTTGGTTGGACAAAGGCTATGGAAGCAAACCCAAAAAGAAAAGCAGGCTGAAATTGGAGTCAATGGCCTCAATGGTGCATAACCAGTTGACACGTATACTTAATTGTATTGGAGGAAATCCCTCCCAACACTAAAAATTAAGAACCAAGAAGAGAAGATCCTGGGCCTGAGTCCCTAAGATGTCCCTGAGTTCATTCAGAGTTGATGGGTACCTGACTCACATTAAAGAAAGTAAAGGCCATTGGGTATAGGGCTGGTAAGTAGGTCACCAATCAGTTCTAAGGCTCAATAAAACCTGCATGAGCCATAGAACTGGTTGGTGACCTACTTACCAGCCCTATAGAGCTGACCACACTACCCCTCAATATGTAGAGGCCACAGAAACAGATTAACTCTACTTCACCTGCCCATGGACCGCTAGGTTTGAAAGGGTATATTTATAGTATTTCTAATAAGTGGATTTATGGAATCATTTTTTCATGTATTTTCTCAACTTTATTCAAACCTTAATTTAAAAAAAAAAAACTTATAAAAGAACAATGCTGGATGTCTGTGAAGTGGACACACAAGCCGCAACCAATTTCAACAAACCTCTAACAGCCTTTTTCTAGGCATCTCCTCCACCAACACCCCCCCCCCCCCCAAGAGAGAAAAAAGTCTGAAAGAAACACTGACCTCTAACGACTGGTTTTCATCAGACGGCACAACCACGATGCTAGGTACTCCAACAAAAATACTCTTCAGCTCACGGAGGAAAGATCCAAAAAAAGGCACAACTTTACACTCGGGGATATCCAGGGCCCTGTTGATTGCCTCCCTGTACTCCGGGGAGAGGTCCCTGGTCAGCAACATGTCTGACAGGGAGTGGAGTGTTGACAGGTCTTCATCTTCTATAGACAGCCAAAACGGTTTCAGTTTCTCTGACCTGCAAACATGTTAAAAAATATAATTTAAAAAATGAAACAAATGTTCATTTAATTAGAAAAAAAAATAGAAATATTAAACCAAACAACAATTTAGATAGATTAAAATACAGGTTAAAAAGTAATTTAAGTTCATTTTATCAAGTCAACTTCTAGAAATGTTTGGCATAAAGAGACTGATAAAATTTGCTGCCATTTTTGTGTTTAGTAGTAGTTTTTATCTTAATCTAGCACTTGAAATCAATTATTAATAATATTTCTGATAATAAAGATAATAAAGCATAAATGAAAAATTATTTAATTAAGTAGGGATGTAAAATAAGGTGTTATACATCACTGTAATAGCAATATTAGACTAAGTATAATTTCTACATAATAATTTGACAAATGTAGAGAAAATAGTCATTGCTAAGGTAGAAATACATTCTTTACAATTACCTTGGGATACAAATGGTTTTAAAAAAAACATGTTAAAGTATTGAACATCTTAAAAAGCTTACCGTAATCCACAAATAAATTTTCCTAGGTTTAAAAAACTTACCGTAATCCACAAACAATTTCAACAGCAGAGTTAAAATTCCCAAGGAGCCAACAGTAGACAGCAAGTCTGAGGATACAGGACAGCACAGCTTTCCTGTCGTCATGGGTTGCTTGGGTCACAATCAACTGGGTCACCCAGGAGCTGACCTGAAACAGGGCAAGTTTCTTTAGTGGCAAGTTTCTTAAGTGGCAAGTTTCTTAAGTGGCAAGTTTATTAAGTAGTAAGTTTCTTCAGTGGCAAGTTTCTTAAGTGGCAAGTTTCTTAAGTTGCAAGTTTCTTAAGTGGCAAGTTTCTTTAATGGCAAGTTTCTTAAGTGGCAAGTTTCTTAAGTAGTAAGTTTCTTTAGTAATTTAAGCTCTAACAATCTTGTTTAAAGTCACACAAAATACCAGCAAGTTCTTAAGTCAGCTACAGTTTGCCTAGTAATCTAAAAAGTAGTAATCTAAAAGTACTATCTAGTTTACATGATAGCTGCTGAAAATTATTGCATGCATCGTTTATACTTTTATGAGCACAATTTGACCTCAGTTTGACTTACATTAGACAGACATTGTGAACTATGTAAAAGCTAAAAAAAAAAGAGTATTTCTATAGTAGAAAAATCTAAAGTTCTGAGTGATATCAATTATTATCCCTGTTTTTAGAATTCATTTTGTGCTTGACAAGTGAGGCAATGAATTCAGCAGAAACTACTGCAAATCTGATTACAGCATTGTATGAGATGTTAAAGTGAGGCTAGGAATTTAGGACTAGCAAATACAAATCTCAATAAAACTTGTAACAGATGTTAAGACAAGGGGGGGGGGGGGGGGGGGGGGCAATACATTCAGCATCAACTACTACAAACCTCATTGAACCTGAAACAAGGGAGGCAATACATTCAGCATCAGCTACTACAAACCTCATTGAACCTTAGACAAGGGAGGCAATACATTCAGCATCAGCTACTACAAACCTCATTGAACCTTAGACAAGGGAGGCAATACATTCAGCATCAGCTACTACAAACCTCATTGAACCTTAGACATGGGAGGTAATACATTCAGCATCAGCTACTACAAACCTCATTGAACCTTAGACATGGGAGGTAATACATTCAGCATCAGCTACTACAAACCTCATTGAACCTTTGTATGAGATGTTCCACTGAAGGCTGAGTTTTCTGCATCAAAGGTCTGGAAAGTTCCATGGTGACGTGGCGAATGTAGTGCTGCGGAGGTACACTGCTGAAAAGTTTGTGTTCCACATCAGTTAACATCAGCGCCACTTCTTCCGGAAAGTGAAGCATTTTCCGCAAGGCCTCCAACTCTTCTGTGTCTTTGCTCATGGGCTCTAACTCTGGTCTGGGAGTCAGCTGTCTCTTCTGGTAATCTGAGGATAAAAATTAGAATCATGAAGACAATTTTGTTGTAAGAAATAAAGTAAATGTAATAATGTGTTTATCAAAGAACTAAAGGGAGGGAAGCAATGCAATTCAAATAAAAGAGTAATTAAAGTTTGATTTACCTAAATTAACTTGGTAAAAAAATTGGCTTGTGTGTAATATTTAATTTCTCTGATGTACTTGTAAGATATATCAAAATTAAAATGTGTTTTAAAAATTTTAATTGAATGATTGAATGAAAACTGAAATATTATTGTATTATAGGACATCCTCCTAAATTATTATCTCCCTTTTTTCATTAAAAAAACCCCCAACATTTAAACCATTTAGATGGTTACCACCCTTGTAAGATGCAGTTCTATGTTATTAGTCGCACAATCCTACACAATATTATAAAAACATATTCATGTCACAACCAAGTCTAATATTGAAAAGCTGCTTGTGTATTATATTTCCAAAAAAAAAAATGAAATAAAACCAACCAAACTCAAAGCTGTCTCTCTGCAGGGCGCCATTGTTTAGAAATCTGCCATCCATATCTAAAGCTTCCCATATGGCAGCAGTGACAGACTTGAGACAGTCAACAGAAGGCATGGCAAGCGTCCATGGCTTAGTCCCCCTGAACTCTAACACTAGACTGTCATGGGCCTTTCCACTACCAGACAGCCAGTCATCCATGTCTTTAAGTTGCTGGCTCTTAGCTGGGATCTGGGTCTTAATGTCTAGCAGCATGATCTTCTCATTAGAGATGGCCAGTAGCCTTGATACCTGAAGTAAAAGGATATTTATTCAAGGTTCTTTATGAAGTCAGTGTAATGATAAGTTAATTTATAAGAATTGATTGAATTCATTGTCTGCTTTGTCAGACATATTTTGAACTCAATTTAGATTTTTCAACTACAGAAATTCCTCCTCCCTTTTCATTATTTTTTCGTTAGATCACAATCTCTGTCTTTCATTCAAGGTTCTTTATAATGGTTGTGTAATGAGAAGTTAATTTATAAGAATCGACAGTATTTATTTATTAACATTACATAGTTCTTATTAATTATATTATTTAATATCTCAGTTGTTTTGTATACAAAGTACCTTTTTTTTTAGAAAAAAAAGCTAAAATAAAAGTTACAACAGATCGTTAAGAGACTTTAAAATGGCATTACTGATAATGATTCCTAAAGCCATTTACTACCCTTAGAGTAGCACTTAGTTTTATTGTTTTATGTGAATTACTGATTAAAGTGATTAGGCACCCAGTTGCAGTTTTTACATTACCTTTTTTTGTGTGTTTCCCCTCAAAATTTCTTTGACTTGAAACAGTTTACAGCCATATGAAGGAAGATTCTTGCAGATCTTGATGTACAGCTGTTTAAGCTTTACTTCATTTTCATAGTAGGGAGTGTGCCACAACTTTTTTTGTTTGTCCTGTCAAAATCATTCAATTAAATTTTTTTTATTTAAAATTAAAAATCAAAATAATTTATCTAGGGCCTATAGATATTCTAGTAAATGTTTACAATTATATCAAATAAAAATATTAAAAACTTATTTTAAAAGTTACTGGCACATTTATTTTCAAATGACATAGTCTATGGGTAGATATTTAGTAGACTTATTATTACTAACTGAGGATGCTTTAATTTAATCCAAACAGTTAGCTCAATTTTGTGTTAGTGTTGGTGTAAAAAGTGTAAGTTTGGAGATGTGTTATAATTTTTGGCTAAGGTTTTAACAAAGAATTGGTTTAATATTTACATTACACTTAACCATAAATTTTCAATTAAACTGATGTGCTTACTTCAATAAGTTCTCGAACTCGTTTAGAAGTTGTGTAGTGGGGAGGTAGAAATTTGCTCAGGTCCAAACTCTCCCGTGGCTGCCATTCGTTATCGCTGGTACACAGCAGGGTCCGTGCTAGTTTTGTACTGCGTCTAGTGCTGTCAACAGAGAAATATGAGAATCACTGAACGAACAAGAAAAATTTAAAAACATTGTAAAGGCAATGGCTGGAGTTAGGTACTTTTACTATTCGTTACTGCCCTAGTAGATCTATCTAGATTCTAAGCCTAATAGAAATAATCTAGTCTAATAGATCTAGAATCTAGATCTAGATCTAGATATCTAGATCTATATTCTAAAATGTTATGATAAAAATTTAATATAATTTTTTTTTGTATAGCGCAACTAACTGCCAGAACAATATTTTGCATAGTTAGCTAAATTGTTCCGGCTCATATTTAGGCTTGGAATTAATGTCTATCTAATACGAAACAAAGTGATGTTAATAACATGATTGCAAGACAAATTATCTCTAAACAAATGCCAAAAAAAAATAATTTCTAGGCCCATCTATGAAAATTATTCTTGAGTAAAAAACAAAATTTGAATAAACAGCTTAATAATCTGGAAGTTTACATGAGTTATCTATTTTACCATTCGCGGTTTTTTGGAGCCCGTATACTTTTTCTGTTTTACAAACAATCAAAAGTGTAAGATGAGGACAAGCGACCTATGTCTACTTCAGACCCATGTCGACCTCTGTCCAATGTCTATCACAGGCCAATGAGGACTACTGACCATAACAGACGACTAACCGATGAAGATCACTAACCAATGTCGACCACTGACCCATATAGACCACTGACCAATGTCGACTACTGACCCATTTAGACCATCGACCCATATAGACCACTGACCCATGTCGACCACTGACCCACGTCGACCAGACCACTGATCCACGTCGACCACTGACCCGTGTTTGACCAGTGCTATAGCCTTCCCCCCCCCCCTCCCCCCCCCCCCTTCCAAAACACGACTGGACTGACCTAGTTATTCTCTGGGCTCTATGAGAGCGGATCAGCTCCTTCTTGTGGCGCAAGTTCTCCAGCTTCTCGCTGTCCGTGTTGATACGAAAACATCTCGTCTGCTCAACGACGCCATCCTCGCCATCTGTCAACCCGTTGGTTGGACTCCCACAGTTGTTGTTCTGGTGGTTGGGCGTGTCAACCTCCTCGTTGTCTTCGTCCTCAGACTCGGGCCAGGCCTCTTCGATGTGGAGCTGGATGCCAGCGAGGGTGGCGGCCTCTTCTTTAGAGCACGGCAGGTCCCCATTGACAATCAGCTGCTGTAGCTGTAGATGGTAGATAGAGATACAATCTTAGGGTTTATCTTTACTTTGTACTTATAGATGGTAGAGATACAATCTTAGAATTTATCTTTACTTTGTACTAACATTGGCAGAGAGACAATCATAGAATTGATCTTTACTTTGTACTTATAGATGGTAGAGATACAATCTTAGAATTTATCTTTACTTTGTACTAACATATGGCAGAGAGACAATCTTAGAATTGATCTTTACTTTGTACTTATAGATGGTAGAGATACAATCTTAGAACTTATCACTTTGTACTACCCTATAAATGATAAATACGCAATCTTAGAATTTATCTCCACTTTGTACTACCCTATAAATGGTAGAGACACAATCTTATAATTAATCCTCACTTTGTACTATCTTATAGATAACAGAGACAATCTTAGAACGTATTTTCACTTTGTACTACCCTATAGAATATTTAGATGGTAGAGATATAATCTAAGAATTTATCTTTACTTTGTACTTATAAATGGTAGAGATACAATCTTAGAATTTATGTGTAGATCAATGGTAGTCTTTGAGTTAAGATCGATAACTGATTTACTATCGATATTATTATTGTTGGCTTACATGATGCCTTATATACCTTGCTGCGTAGCTTAAAAACATGGTACATTTGATAAGCTAATCAAAAACAATTTTACAATTATTAGACTACAAACGACAAGTGTAATTCAACAGGAGAAATTAGCTTTTAAATGAGAAAGGTCTCTCTTGTGTAAACTTTTACACATGATATAAAAAATGCGTGCGGCGTCAATTCGGCCAATGACGAAACGGCCCCGTCAAAACGACCCCGACAAAACGACCCCGTCAAAACGACCCCGTCAAATCGGCCCCGTCAAAAGGGCCAGCGACATATGGACCCCGTCATATAGGCTCCCGACAAATAGGCTCCCGTCATTTAGGCTAACGACAAATAGGCTCCCGTTATATAGGCTCCCGACAAAAGGGCTCCAGTCAATAAGGCTCCTGACAAATAGGCTCCCGTCATTTTGGCTCCCGACATATAGTCTCCCGTCATTTAGTTTTTTCCACAAAACGGCCCCCGTCATTACGACTCCCGACAAATAGGCTCCCGCCATTTAGTTTCTCCACAAAACGGCCCCCGTCATTACGACTCCCGACAAATAGGCTAGCGTCATTTTGGCTCCCGACAAAAAGGCTCCTGTCAATTTGGCTCCAGACAAAAGGACCACTGACACAGTGGCGTAGCTACCGTAAAGCTAGCGTAAGCAAGGCATGGGGGCCCAAGGCACATAGAGGCCCTTTTTCCTCATAAAAAATTAAAACTTTTACAATGGAATTTTAATATTTGTTACATATAAATAATTTTTAAAAAGAAAAAGGTTAAAAGTTCCGAAAAGCCCCCTTCCCCCCCACCGTTTCGGCAGTGGGATTCAGTGTTTGTGGGTCAAACAGAGCCGAATCGTTATAATAACTCTACAGGCTATATCACTTTGTCGTGCAAGACATTGAGAGAATCAGCCTATAAATAAACTTTTTAGCAGTAGTAGGCAATCATAATAATAAAGTATAAATACAAAATCAGGACATATAAAATACAAAATGTTGCCTTCAGAATATTTATATATTAAAAAATATCCATCGTAAGTAGAAGTTTATCTCTTCGTTTAACTCCTCTGTAGCCTAACGCAGAGGCGTAGCGAAGGCGAGGCGGGGGGTGCGGACCGCAACGGGTGACACCATTTAGGGGGGGGGGTGACACTAAAGGCAAAAAATTGTAAAATTTATAGAATGAAATGCCATTTTCCTGATCCATTAGTTAAAGTTAAATAGTCTTCTAAGTACAAATCTAAAATTATATCAAGAGGGGGGTGGGGTGTGACACCACGACGTAAACGTAAACTATAAAGAAAACAATGCTACATCCAACTGTATTATAAACAGACTGTAGATAAACATCGTTACTATTAAGTCAGCAGTGATTAAAGCTTAAACACGTACGTGTACCAGTATGTGGCATATATATAAATTTTAGGCCTATGTAGGCCGACACACACACACACACACACACACATATATATATATATATATATATATATATATATATATATATATATATATATATATATATATATATATATATATATATATGCTTTGTTTCCTGGGAGGGGGTGACAATACGAAGTGCCGCACCGGGTGAGACCCGACCTAGCGACGCCACTGGCCTAACGGCTGACGAAGGGGCCCACTGATAATTTTTGCATAGGGGCCCAAAAATCCTAGCTACGCCACTGCACTGACAATACCGTTTCTGTAGAGACTAAGTCTCCCGGCAAAGCGGTCTCATTGAATATGACATCTGCCAGTGGGACCCCTTCATCAATATTCTTTAGAGTTAGCTTATCCAACACTCTTATGTAATACAACGTATGCATCTCTTGTTCGGCAGGCCTTATTTTTATATTAGTTTATCTATTATAAAATATAGTATGTTTTAATTTAAGGGTCATCTATCTATGACATCCATAATTGAGTCGGTTATAGGCTGTTCCAACTCATTGTGTGGGGAGAAGGGTCCACGCTGTACCTTCCTAACTGCAATATGCTTGTACAGGGGCCTAGCGAGGGGGGGGGGGGCGGACCGCACCGGGTGACACCATTTAGGGGGATGACACCAAGGCAAAAAATAGCAAAATATATAGAGAAAAAGTTGAGGGGGTGGGGGTGGGGGTGCAAATCGAAAGTTTGGGGGGGGGGGTAAATCGAAAACTTGAAAGTTTGTCCCCGGGGGTGACACCCGACCTAGCTACGCCACTGTGCTTGTAGGTTATCAAAACAAAATGCTGTTATCATGTTAACATCATGTATATCATACATTTACACTTCTGTGCTCGCTTTTAAGCAACAGATCTTTTCTGTTGTAAATTAAACATTATCAAAACTTTAGAATTGGTGGAATTTAGCTGTTAAGGGCTCGATTTGTTTGTGAATTAATGTTGGTTCATGAAAAAATAATTTCATTCGGGCATTAAAAAGAGGTTATGGTGGTATTGGAGGTAGGACACAATGGTTACTTTTATGCCAATAGTGGTCATATCATTCATTTTTCTGGAGCCAATATGTCGGGAGTCATTTTGTCAAAAGCCAATATGTCGGGAGCCCAATTGCCGGGAGCCAATATGTCGGGAGCCCATTTGTCGGTAGCCAAAATGTCGTGAGCCCATTTGCCGGGAGCCCATTTGTCTTGAGCCCTTATGTCGGGAGCCAATATGTCGGGAGCCGCTTTGTCGGGAGCCAATATGTCCTGAGCCTATTTGTCAGGGGTTAATATGTCGGGAGTCCATTTGTCGGGAGCCTAAATATCGGGAGCCCATTTGTCGGGAGCCTATATGTCGCAAGTCAATATGACGGGAGCCCATTTGACGGGAGCCAATAAGTCGGGGCCCTTTTGACGGGGCTATTTTGACGGGGTCGGTTTGTCGGGAGTCGATTTGACGGGGTCGTATTAACGGGGCCGTTTTGACGGGGCCGATTTGTCCCGGGCCGTTTTGACAGGGCACCAAAAAATGAGATGTTGGATGCAAGTTATTTTCTACTGTCTGCGAGGGGACGGGGTGGGTTAACCATTGTTGTCATTTAGTTTCGCAGAAATACACATCAGCTGACACAGCCAAAAGTGATCGATAAAATATAATACAATATATATATATATATAAATATATATATATATATATATATATATATATATATATATATATATATATATATATATATATATATATATACATATATATATATATATATATATATATATATATATATATATATATACATATATATACATATACATATACATATATTTATACACCTATTTGTGTCTATAAAGATTTGTCCAAGAACTATTTTATCTCCATGTATTCTCACACTGAGTAAAAAAAAAACAAAATCACTGCGTGTAAAATGATAAATGTCAGATAAAAATAAGATTTGATGTCAGCACCAGGCTCACACCTGTTGACGGGAAGGGAAAAACTTATGTGCCTCTACCTGTGAGAACATTCGTTTTACCCCCACCTGGTGCTGTGGGGTCATAATGAGAGTGACTTCCTAGTTCAGGTATTCAGGTATAAAGGTCAAGGACGTCTGACATAGATTGCATGCTACACTTTGAGTGTGGGACAAACAAATTAACTAATCGAACGACTGTTTGATTTTCTCCAGTAGGTGCGAAGTCCTAACACCGTCAGTAAAGTCTCGTTTCGAACTTTAAGATCCATGAGGCGATTGAAGTATAGCTCATATACTTCAGTTACTTCAGAATAGGGATAGTGTGGTCAGCACTATGCCCGGCTGCCTGTGCTTTCCGTATTGTGAATTAGGTACCCATCTCAAAACATTGGAAATGGGTGGTTAACTGTATTTAAAAAATGGACTCAGGTGTGTGACGCTTTCTTTTTGCTAGACGGAAACAGTCTTGTTTCACTCATGGTTACCATACCTGGACGGCCAGTTTTAATGGACGGCCAGGTAACATGGACGGCCAGGTAAAATGGACGGCCAGGTAAAATGGACGGCCAGGTAAAATGGACGGCCAGGTAACATGGACGGCCAGATTTGATGGATGACTAGAACTAACAGTATAAAGAAGAAAATAATGGTGATCTTGGAATTGGAAGGCTTATAAAGGTTATTGATCTGGGAATTAATAACTAGAAGTTTAGTTTCTTATTGTCTGGGCGTGGAGTACTTGAGGTGGGCATACCAAGGTAGTTGTTTAAATAGAAATATCGGTATATGGAGGGGGGGGTACGTTCGCTACATGTATCAATATACACTATTGGTAGCATTTAAGTAAAGCTGTTTGGAAAAAAAAATGAACAGGAAGCGAAATTCGTTGAGTCAGTTTTAGAAACGTCTCGCGCTTAGAATAGTGAGGCTTTGTTGATCCAGGTCTAGGTCTTATTCACGAGCTCTTACAGACAGGTGTAAGTTTTTTACCTGGG